GGCCGCTGCTTTGGAATCTTGTTCTTCACGAGGAGTACACTTGTATTGCTTGTTTGTAATAGTGAAAACCCATCTACGTTGAATACTGTGACCACTATTTAAACAAAATCCACAACCAAATAAACCATTAAAAGCACTCATGCAATATGCAATAGCCTTTGCTGGCAAATCACATACTATTGAACAAAAGTTCACAAACCATGAACCATTATTGATAATCACTTCATTATTCTCCATACTCTTGACGTCTTGTACAAAATAGTCGAGAAAGACATTTCCTGGTTTTGTCTTTCCGTACCAAAGACCAACCATAAAGAGATTTTCCGGATTATATCTAACCTCTGGTGGCAAGTTTTGAACAACAACATAAATAGGCCACATGCTCCATTTAGAGGATGAAAAAGGACTCGCTCCATCCCAATTCACCTGCAAAAAGATTTGATTTGAATTGCCATGAAGTTGAATCTTATCCTTAATAACAGAACCATCGAATACGTCCATAATATTATCAGTATCATTCCGTCTAGTTTTGTAATATTCTAATTGCTCACAATAGATAGGATCTTTACATCTTTCTTCAAATTGCTCCCGAAGACTATGATAAAGAAAGTGTGTTGTATTTTTCCTTCCACATGAAGAGCATGTTGAATTATTGCAACAACATTCACAATGTTTACAATAATATACTCGTTGCATTGAGTCCATGAATGGAATAAATTTGAAAAGCTGTGTTCTTGTCTTTGGAATGATATTATCTTGAGGGAGTAGTAAATTGAGTGTTTTGAGTAGAATGTCAATCTTACTAGTACCGATTTTCATTGTAATTATGAGAAAGAGAATAACGGTGATAAATGAACCCAAACTCAATGAAGCATCATTATGAATAGGCTTGTTTAGACTTTCATCATTATCAACATGAAAATTAGGAATGGTTTCAAAAGCTTGATCAAAGCCTCCAATATCATCAAACACACTCACCAATAGATGCCGATCTGTTAAGATTTGCTTCTTCTTCCTCTTCTAGTTGATCCATTATGAATTCATCCTCATCATCTGATTCCGAGGTGTTATCAGAACCAATCTCGCTCTCAATCAAATCATCATCCACCATTAAATCTTCCTCATCTACTTCTGTTCTGAATTCAACTTCATCTTCATCACTTGTAGTTGTTGTTTGATAAAGAATTTCTTGCCCTAATTTTTCAGCCTTTCGTTTTGATCGATATTTTCGAACGTATTGAGCGTTCTTTTGTGTTGGTATTTTCCCCATTTTTTTAGGCTTTGAAATAAGGCGCTAAATATTACAAGATCCACTCACAATAGTAACAAATTGATCCAATAATAGCCAAAAAAAATGTCAAAACTCAATTCGCAAGAAAGTGATAACTCTGAATCATCTTCACCAAATATCAAGCCTTCACAAAATATCACTACAACCAAAAAGAAGAAACAAACATCTACTAGAAAGAAGCCAGCATCATCAAGTGAGTCTTCATCAACAACAAAATCGCCAACAAAGGCTTCATCAACCTCACCAAAAAAATCACCACCAAAGGCTTCAAAAGATGTCAACACTGTACCAAAAGAGTCTTCCTCCTCTTCTTCTTCTTCTACTTCTTCTGGAGGTGTGAAAAGAAAGCAAGATGATTCTAGTAGAATTGTTAAACTTCTAAAACTTACAAAAACTAACAAGACACGTCTT